TTTCTTTGTCGCCATTCTCCTGTCTTGTTACATGCCTTCTCTAAATCTGATTGAGAAGAAAATGGTAATGATTCCACATCCATCCATGCCAATCTAGTGATTCTTGAATGGAACCTAATTGTTGCTCATTTTTTTTTATTGAAATCGACTATCATATGGCTTAAATATTTAGTACTTGAATTCAGCGAACCAATTTCCACCAATCGAGTAATCTAATTTCATACTATTAGCACCACATACTTAATGACCTAACACTATTTCTCACCTCGAATGGAATACATTAAGATTCATGTGCACTTTGTTCATGACAAGATTTAGACCGGTGAACTCTGGATTTCTTGTGTTGTCTTGTCCAATCAATTTGTTAATGTTCAAACTAAACATTAATCATATGCGTCCGCATCTACTCCTATCTGATATAGGTGTCACTAATAAGACTGCTTTCTTGTGCGGGGCATATTATAGATATTAAAGTAATTAGAGATAGCATAGTACGATAATTAGAGCTTGATCTTGTGAAATAATATTAAAGTAGTTATAGATAGTGTTACACAATAGTTAGAACTTGTCATTACTCAACGTGCATCATATATTTCTGTTACAGAATGTATACATATATATAGCACATACCAGGAGATATTCTAGACTATGCACTAATTTAGGCTATGATTGAGATTGACCCTCATTGTATGTGGAGTCAGATGACAAACTATACTTCCCTATAATTATTGAATAATGTTATTTAATATTAGTAGAATTAGAGTGCCAGTCTAAGTTGACATACTTGATAAGTTCAATTAAATTAATATTGTGGTATTGCATTTAAATGAATTTATTGTTTAGTGTCATGAAATTAGGGTGGCAACAGTTCGGTTCAGGTTCGGTTTGGCCAAAACCATCACCGAATCACCAATTTTTTTGTCATACCATAACCACGTAAGTTGGTTCGGTTCGGCTTAGTTAGGACGATTAAGAACAACGAAAATAAATTATTTTTTATAAGTTCAGCTATCAAATTGGAAAAAAAAATTATGAAAAAAAAGGTCAATGAAAACAAAAACACAATACCAAGTCAATTTAACAAACAATATCCCAATTTCCAAAGGCAAAATCCGAATTTAACAAACAATATCCATAAATGTTTAATATTTGTGTAGTAGGGTGTAGGGTTATTGGGTTCAGTTAGTTGGACTTAATGGGTTGGTAATGGGCCAAAAATTTGAACTGAACAGAATCATAGAAAGACTAATGGAAAGCCTAATTGTCCAATTAGTTTTTTTTTAACAGGTAATCGGTTCGGAGTTGGACGACGGTGTAAATATCATACTCGTCCCGCTCCAAATCGGGGCATTAAAATCAAATACCATATCCACCCCATTGCGCCATTGGTTCGGTTAATCGCGATTTTCGATTTTGATAGTTCGAATTGCCATCCTTACATGAAATTGCATCTCAACTAAAGTTTAACACTAATGGTGCTAAAGTGCATTACTCATAATTATTATATGAGTAATGCCATTTAGCACTATTAGTTAAGCACTGTTTAGGTGGCATGCAATAATCATTAATTGAAAGACTGCCTTAAAAGTAGAAAAATGAGTCACATTTAAAATGTTCTATCACTTGCATGCCATCTAAGTTGGTGCTATGTAACATTATTCTTATTACTTTTCTTGATTGACAACTTGCACCAATAGTCATCTTGCAACTTATTGATATACTAAAATCAATGTGAGATAGAGTTTATGTATTTGAGTTGGAGTCGATCAAGTTTTTATAGAACCTAAATAATCTTCAAATGAATCATAGTTACTCAAGTTGTTTCTTACCGCTCTAAGCATCAATCCAAACACATTCTTATGTCAATCAATATGTCAATTTTTACATGAATCAATTCATCCTTTGCTGTTAGAGTTACTTTAGTTAGCTACTTTAGCAGAGATGATCAAGTTATACAAAAGCTCATTAGAAACATCAAAGTTAGATATAAACTGTAAGGCTTAATTACAGTTTTGTGTACTGTTACAGAAACATTCAAAGTTTTTCGAGTAATATAGATCATTTCACTAATCCTTTTTATTTTTATTTTTTTTATATACCATTGTATGATTAAATAAAATTAGTATAAAACATCAATACTTCATCTACAATGTACATAGTTTATCAACAATGTTAATAGCATTGAGTTTATATTTCATCATAATTCTCCAGACCAATTAGAAATATTAGGAAGTTTCTAGTATTTGATCTTGTCTTCCCATTTCTTTTAATCAATACATATAATTAATCAAGCAACCAAAATAAAATTTTTAACACCATAATACCAATATAAAAGTTACAAATCTAGAATAAATCACTATTACTCATAGGAGTCACTTTGTAGAGCCCATATAGAAAACCTTGAAGGCATGTCAATTAATACATGTACTATGCTGTTTCAATTATAAGTTAATGTACCTCATTTTCTTTCTTACACCATATAAATACTTTATCAACTAGGCCAACACTCATCATAATTTAGCAAATAAGACTTAGAAAATGCACCGTTTTTTATCCATAACTCTTCGACTTAAATCTAAGATGATATCGTCATGCCATTATAGAAGCAAAGAGAATCTGACCTATATAATTATTAATAGGGTAAGGATGCTTTAGCAGATTTCGTCTAATCTGCAATTTAGGAAAAATTGCATCATACAACCATTTGTTAAGGGGATGCCCATGGCATAAGTGAATGCCCTAGTCGTCCAATACACATAAAGAGATCGCTTTTAATTGTTTGATTTCTCAACTTGATTCTTGATTTGGCTTTCAGGTTTCCACTCATTAATTGATGTTCATACTTCTGGAGAATACCAAAGAAGATAGGGGTTGAAAGCTTGAAGATTGAATATCCATATTTAAAGAAAAGAATTGGAGCAGCTTCTAAAGAATTCAGATCTAATCACACTTCAACTGTGATTCCACAATCCTTTATATGATTAATTCAACATGTTATAATACGAATTTAACTATATATTATTGGGTCAAAACTTATTAAGAACAAAATTTATTGCCTATGTTTTTACTTATTGTCTAACATTATTCTTATCTTTACTTTGGCTTTGTGAACATACATTTTCAGTTCAGTGGTTATGAGTTAACTTTGTATCTAATAACGCTAAAAGATAAGGTTCTTTAATACATTAACATTGTTCATGTACCATAAAAAGCCTCCTTGTGCATAAAGAAATATACAACTCTATTATGGGTCTTTCCTATATTTTATGTACTTTATATAATAAGTACTTAGAGTGGGAGAAGAAGATTGAGTTGATATTCGATTGTCACAATTACTCGGGGCAGAAAAAGGTGAAAATTGCGGTTCTTGAGTTTTTCAACTATGCAATAACTTGATGGGATCAAGTGGCGACGACGAGGTGGAGGATTGGGGCACAACCTTTAAATACTTGGGAGGAGTTGAAGATGTTAATGCGAAAATAGTTTGTACCTAATCACTATTACCGGAAGCTTCATCAATGGTTACAAAATCTATATCAAGGCACTAGGAGCATAGAGGATTACCATAAGGAGATGGAGATGCTTATGATTAGGGCGAACGTGGAAGAGGATAGGGAAGCCACTATGGCACGATTTTTGAGGGGGTTGAATAGGGACATTGCCAATGAAGTGGAATTGCAACATTAGGTGGAGATTGAAGACATGCTACATGTGGCATGAAGGTGGAAAAGCAATTGAAGCGAAAGGGGACAGCAAGGTACTAAGGTGGATTTTCGATTTCTAATCCTTCTTGGAAGCCGAGGTAGGAAAATAATAAAGGAGATGGAGCTAATAGAAGAGAAAGACCGGAGGCATCGAGAGGAAAGGAGGAAGGAGCTAGCAAGACTACACCAAAGGTAGAATCCCAGCCTTCAAGGAATCTGGAGTCAAGTGTTTTCGTTGCTTGGGAGTTGGACACATTGCTTCACAATGTCCAAATAAAAGAACCATGATTTTGCAAGACAGCGAGGAAGTGGAGATCGAGAGTGAAGGTGATTATGAAGACATGCCGGAGTTGGAGGACATTGACGAGGAAAACACCACAGAGTATGCAGTTGGGGAGTTGTTGGTCACAAGGCGAGCACTTAGTGCTCAAATCAAGGCGGTTGACTTGGAGCAGCAGTGGAAAAATATATTCCACACATGGTGTCACGTCAACGGGAAGGTATGCAGTGTAATAACTGATGGTGGAAGTTGTACAAACGTAGCTAGCACTAATGTAGTGGGAAAATTGGGATTAACACTATTAAAATATCCTAAACCCTATAGGTTGCGATGGTTAAATTAATGTGGGGAGGTTGATGTGACAAAAAAGGTGTTGATTAATTTTTCCATTGGGAAGTATTATGATGAGGTGTTATGTGATGTTGTACCTAAGCACGCGGGGCATATTTTGTTGGGGCGACCTTGGTAATATGATAGGAAAACAATGCATGATGGGTATAAAAATAAATATAGTTTTGTGAAAGAGGGAAAGTCTATCACTCTTGCACCATTAAGTGTATGACGACCAAATCAAATTGAAAAATGAGGAAGAAAAGAGAGTGAGAGAGTTAGAGAAAAAGAGAGAAAATAGTAAGATTGCCGATGAGGAAGAAAAAAGAGTGGGGCCACATGAGAGAAAGAAAGAGAGTTTTCCGAGAGGAGAGAAAAGCCAAAAGTGAATTTCTTTGCAAAAGGGAGTGAAATGAAAAAGGCAATAGTGGAGAGACAATCAATGATTCTTTTGGTATTTACTCCTCAATTTTGAGGAGTCTAACACATCCCTCCCTAGTTTGACTACTTCTTTATTGCAGGAACTTGTCGATGTGTTTCCGGAAGATGTGCCTAGTGGATTACCACCCATTAGGGGGATCGAACATTAAATTGATTTCATACCTGGAGCTGTCATTCCAAACCGACCAGTTTATCGAAGTAATCCAAAGGAGACAAAGGAGTTTCAAAGGTAAGTGGAGGAGTTGATGAGCAAGGGTTATGTAAGGGAGAGCATGAGTCCATGTGCCGTACCTGTATTGTTGGTGCCAAAGAAAGATGGAACTTGGAGGATGTGCGTGGATTGCCGATCTATCAATAACATTACGGTAAAGTATGGTCACCCAATTCCTAGGTTAGATGACAAGTTAGATGAATTATATAGTGCTTGCATCTTTTCTAAAATTGACCTTAAGAGCGGGTATCATGAAATTCGTATGCGGGAGGGTGATGAATGGAAAACAACATTTAAAACGAAATATGAGTTGTATGAATGGCTAGTTATACCCTTTGGACTCACAAATGCACCAAGCACGTTTATGCGATTAATGAATCATGTTTTGCATGCTTTCATTGAAAAATTTGTTGTAGTTTAATTTGATGACATTCTAATCTATAGCAAGGACCTAGTAGAGCATTTAGAACATCTTAAATGTGTGCTTGTGGTTTTAAGAAATGAACGACTTTATGCTAATTTCAAGAAGTACACATTTTGCATGGATAGAATCATATTTCTAGGATTTGTGGTGAGTGCTAATGGGGTTGAAGTTGATGAAGAAAATGTAAAAGCTATTAAGGATTGGCCAACACCTAAAAACATAACCGAGGTTAGGAGTTTTCATGGGTTAGCTAGTTTTTATAGGCGATTTGTTAGGGATTTTAGCACACTTGCCACACCACTTACAAAAATTGTCAAAAAGAGTGTTGGGTTTCAATGGGGTGTAGAATAAGAATATGCATTTAACACCATCAAAGAATTTTTATGTAAAGCACCTGTTTTAGCGCTTCCTAATTTTGACAAAACTTTCGAGATTGTGTGTGATGCATTAGGAATAGGTATTAGAGCTGTTTTGACGCAGGAAAAGAGGTCGATAGCATACTTTAGCGAGAAACTAAGTGGGGCAGCTCTTAACTATCCTACTTATGGCAGGAGCTTTATTCTCTAGTTCGAGCCTTGGAGACATGGCAACACTACCTATGGCCAAAGGAGTTTGTTATTCACATTGACCATGAATCATTGAAACATTTGCGAGGTCAAGGTGATTTGAACAAACGACATGCACATTGGATGGAATTCATAGAGACTTTTCCATATGTCATTCGATAAAAACAAGGTAAGGAAAACATAGTAGCCGTTGCATTGTCGCGAAGGTATGTGCTTCTCACTTCTTTAACTGCAAAATTACTTGGTTTTGAGTATGTTAAGGACATGTGTAAAAACGATCTTGATTTTTCTAACATCTATAATTCATGTACTGAGAGGGCTATTGACAAGTTCTTTAAATATGAGGGATATTTGTTTTGAGAAAATAAATTATGTGTTCCTAATTGCTCAATGCGTGAATTGTTGGTTAGGGAGGCACATAGTGGGGGTTTAATAGGTCACTTTGGGTTAGCAAAGAGTTTAGACATGTTAAATGAACACTTTTATTGGCCTAAAATGAAGATTGACATAGAACGATTTTGTAGTCGTTGCATAACTTTTAAAAAGACTAAATCAAAAGTTTTATCCCATAGACTTTATACACCTTTATCGATACCTAGCGAACCTTGGGTTGACATTTCAATGGATTTTGTGTTAGGTTTGCCTAGGACTAAAAAGAGGCGTGATTCAATTTTTGTTTTTGGTGAATAGGTTTAGTAAAATGGTACACTTTATACCATGTCACAAAATCGAAGATGTCACTAACATTGCAGGAGTTGTTTTTCAAAGAATTAGTGTGTTTGCATGGTGTTCCCAAAAGTATTGTGTCCGATAGGGATGTTAAGTTTCTTAGTCACTTTTGGCGGGTCTTGTGGAATAAGTTAGGCACGAAATTATTGTTTTCTACAACTCGTCACCTATAAATCGATGGTCAAACTGAAGTAGTGAATAGAACAATGACACAACTATTGCGCACTGTGGTTAATAAAAATCTAAAGAATTGGAAAGAATGTTTGCCTTTCATTGAGTTTGCATATAATAGAGCCACGTATTCTACTACGTCGTTTTCACCATTTGAAATTGTTTATGGTTTTAATCCTTTAACATCTATGGATTTAGGACCTTTGCGTGTGAATGAACGAGGTAGTTTGGATCGAAAAAAGAAAGCCTAATTGGTAAAGACACTCCGTGAAAAGGTAAGGGAGCAAATAGAGAAGAAGAACAATCAACGAACAACACAAGCAAACAAAGGCCGAAAATATGCCACTTTCGAACCGGGAGATTGGGTTTGGGTGCATTTCACGAAAAAGCGATTCCCAGAGCAAAGAAAATCAAAGTTATTGCCACGAGGAGATGGATCGTTCCAAGTGATTGAGAAGATCAACGACAACGCTTATAAGATAGATCTTCCAGGTGAGTATAGTGTTTCTGCAACTTGCAATGTTTCTGACTTATCTCTTTTCGATGCAGGTACAGATTTGAGGTCAAATCCTTTCGAAGAGAGAGGGGATGATGTGATCCAGAAAGCACAAGTACCAAAGTCAAGTTTAGAGTCGAGCCCGAGGAAAGATCTGTTGATAGTCGAGGGGACGATGACGCGATCGAGGGCCAAGCACGTGAAAGAGGCGATGGGATTGCTCGTCAAAACAACGGTTGATGAAACAATGTTCGGGATACAAAATGGAGTAAGTTTCATGTTTGGGACGAAGGCCGAAGACTATTGGATCAACGTGTTTAAAGTTGAAGAAAATGGAGCTGGAGTATTAAACCATGCGGCCGTATAGGTCTAAAGTCCTGCAGTCGCATACACTCAGTAGAAGTCCCAAAGTCGCGGACCAATTGCACTATGCGACCGCATGCTCTAAAGCTATGCGGCTGCACCGAGGCGAATTTTTTCAAATTTCGCATTTTCCTTATTTTAATAGAATTTCATTATTAGTAGATTTTTAGCTATTGTGGACGAATTTTGCATTATTCTTAGATTTTTTCCTAGTTTACTTAGGTTCTCTAAAATAGTATAAATACTTTATTCCTTATTGTAAAACATTACAACTCTCATATTATTGAATATTATTCGTGAGGCATTAATTGCTTTCTCTAGTTTTTCATTGAACAGCTTGTGAACTTACCAAGATTAATCTTGTGGTATTCAAATTAATCGGGTGAGATTCATTTAAATTTCGTAATCAAAAGGTCCGCATATTGTCGGAGATTCGGATTGCTTGGTTCCAATTTATTGGGTTTAATAAAAAATCTTGTCTTTGGCTTTCTTGGGTTTGATTCTCAATTTGTTATGGGTTTGGTAGCGATCGCGCTACACGGGTTCGCATCAGATTTCTTCGAACATTTTACTGAATTTGTTCTTGATTTTCATTCTAAAATGAAAGTCATATCTACTTTGATAGATGCTCAATGGAAGAATAATGTTGGAGCACGTGAACATTCAGATCCATTAGTGGATGAAAATTCTTATGTTAGAATTTCTTTAATTTTTTACACATTTATTTCAATATTTTAGGGTTAAAACATATATTTAGGACTAACAAGTGGCATCAGAGTCGGAACCTTAAATTTTATATGGTTTCTGGCTTTAAAATGGAAACCTACTTTGTTCTTTTTGAAAAATCTTTGTACTATACCAGTTCTTGATCTACAATATTTTTATTTTTATTTTTATTTTTTGGAAACCAACTTATTTCCAAGTCTCTGTGACAAATATGTATCTTCGATTCAACATTTGGTTGAATTTTTTGATGAACTCGTTTTGGTTTCTAGCGATTCTTGATGGCTCGTTCGTATTCCTTGTTGGGGTGTGATGACTTTACGCAGTTTCTGGCAATCCTCGGTGACTCATTATTTGTTGAGTTGAGGTGACTCATTCAATCTACTACTGATTCTTGGTGTTTCAGTTGGCATTCTGGGATAAATTTTATTAGAGCAGAGTTTAAATATAGAAATTAATTTGTTTTGTATTGAAGACGCAAACTGAACATTAGACAATTTAAAAGTTCAATGACACAGGAAAGGATGTTAGGACTATTAGGTAGAGAAGAGGGTGGTGGATTGTTCTAGCCATGAATATGATGTATATTAAGAGCTTTGTGGGGAACATTGGCAGAGATGGTACCAGAGGTTGGTTTGGCTTCAAAGTGTCGGAGCTTATTTGTTTCATATAGAGCTTATCGAAGGTAATGGGATATCGCGAGCACTAACAACAGATGAGATGTCCTTATGGTCACTACGTAGGCCTTCGAGAATTTTTAGAGTCAGATCTTCATGGTGGATGGGATAGTCCTTGACAGCAAGTTTGACAATCATGCTTTTCTAAGATTGTAGAAACTCGATAATAGTTATAGATCCTATAGTAAGTTTGGGAAGTCGACTTCTTCATTGTATAACGCATCCTCCTGAGGGTTCGTCATATATTGCAAAAATATTGTTCCACACATTATGAGATCTTTGAAAAGAAGCGATGCATGGAATAATAGTGGAAGATCGGATCCGAGAATTGCACTTAATAGTAGTTGGTTTTGTCCGATACCTTAAGCAAATGATCGATTTAGTAAATCATTGGCATTGTTTATAATATGTAGCTCATAGAGTAAAGCACATGTATGCTAGAAAGCAGGTTGATGCCGACGTGGAGCAAGGGGAGCACACCTAAGAGAATGGTACTAGTATATTTTTGGATTTTTACAATATCTTGTACGAGCTACGTTAGTAAATACGTCGTAACTCTATTATTTTCACATTGTGAAAATTATAGCTGCTTCACTCTCGTAGATGTAAGCTATTGTCAAACCACATAAATCTCTCTCTCTCTCTCTCTCTCTATTGAATTTGTACTATTCATCATTATCATTATTGTCGCACATAACACAACACTATTGATATAAGCTGGTCGTAAACCCATGAGATCATACCTTATGAGTAGGGTATTAAATTGTGATTTCTATAAGGACTAATTTCCTACGTGCAAGATACTCCAACGTCCAGAGCTTCGGCCTTCTTCCTCCTGCTCGAGTGAGCCCTTCTTTCGTTTAAATGATCAATGGCGACACTTCTACAATGTCATCTAGTCATCTTGTCCTACTCTCTCGCCTTCTCATTGATCCCGATCATGACCTAACTGCCTCTACCTCCACCTTACACGCTTAGTTCTCGCCCTATGAAAACCCATGACGAAGATCATATTCCAAAACTAAATCTTAGCCCTTGATCTTGATTCCATTATTCTACACTCTTTAGCCACAAGCCTTAAACATCCACTTTGGTTCTAATCCATGTGTGAGGATTTTGATGGCCTATTAGGTGATGCATTTAGAAGATAGCCTCTCCGTTCCAATTCCAAATTATTTTCATTTGTAAATGGGCTTTTTGTGTTAAACGGAAACCTAATGTTTACATTCATCATGCCCGACCAATGGTTTTCATCAACGGTCACGGTAGACTACAATGAGAATTTTAGCCTAGTTGTCAATCCCACCACCATCCGTCTCATCCTTAATCTTGCATTGGTACGGCATTCGTCTTTACGTTGTTCAATGTTAGTAATGCATTTCCTCGGGATGCACTAATGAAAACTATTTACATGTCTCATCTTCAAGAATTTGTCAATATAGAAACTTCCATTATGATTGTCCAATTGCCAGTGGGTTTACCAATTCCAAATCTAACACGTAAGTCTATATTCAATTGCAACTCTAACCAGTGTCGAATCTTAGTTCTGGTTTATGCTAACGACATCATTGTCACGAGAAACTCAAGTTTTAATATCTTTGTTACTCATTTGGCACCATTTTTTTCTAGAGATGTCAAAAATCCTAACTGAACTAGTCCCCATAGCGACATATCCCAAAGAGAACGAGAATTTCTGGCTTTAATCGAGTTTGCATTCATTTATATTTTAACAATATTAATAAAAAATTGCCCAATTTCTATTATAAAAATTTTAAAAAATGAATAAATAAATTTACCTATATAAAAAAAATGAATAAATGAAAAATGAATAAATAGAAAATTGATTAAAATAAAATAGAATGGCACTGTAAAGTGGATCCCGCTTTATTGTCATCCCCAGATTTGGATACTTTATACTTGTTTCTTGGGGATTAAGTTATTTTTCTCTACAAGGCCTTTTTCTCTCACAACATTAGTTTGTATTTCAATAATCTTCTACACAACATAATTTGCATAAGTACGAGTCAGTGTCTATTTCTATGTACATGACAACTACCTTTAGCTTGATTGATGTCACTACTCTTCATGATGCTTCTAAATATAGGCAAGTTCTTGGCAACTTGCAATATTCTTTACTCACTCGCCAGGACATTGTTATTCAGTTAACCATCTGTACCAATATATCACCGATCCATTTCTTA